ACAACTAGTTTGACTGTAGTTACATTCACCAAGGGAGGAAACACCATGAGAAGGAGCAGGAAGGGTATAAAGGGCAAAGGAGCTCATGAGTTCAGGCTTTAAAATGTTGAGTTTAGGATACCTATGGCATATCCAGGTAGAACTATCAAGTAGAAAGTCAGAAATATAAATACACTTCTGAGGCTTTCTGAAATACTGATATATTTATTTTAACTAAAACACCTGTATAAGGGGGAAATCTTGAAAGAACATTAAAGTCTAATGGAAAATTCTCTTTTCTGAAAAATACCCTCTGATCATCCCTGGAGTGAATTGTGGACACTCTTTCTTGGCGCTCCAAGAGTAGTGTGCGCACTTATAATACCGTGTTGTAGTTAATTGCTTGCTTGGCTGACTCTTCAGTTAAGCCATGAGCTCCACTATGAACAGCTGTACATAGCAGACCTGTGACTAACAGTTTTGATCATGTCACACCACTCCCCCAATACTAATTTCTCCAATGAGTTGCCACTGCCTAAGAATCAGCTCCAAATGCTTTAGCATGGTATTCAAAGCCCTACATAATTTTGTCTTAACATATCTGCCTAAACAGTCTCTGAGTTCTCTAAACCCTTGAATAAACTCTGCTGAGCCAAACCAGTTATGTACATTTCTGCAGGGTCTGAATATTGATTTTGTCATGCCCTAGAATTACTCCAACTCAGGGGTGATGACTGGCACTAAAAAAGCTCACAAGAGACTGATGTCTAAAATCAGAATGCCAATGAAATAATTTACATTGAGAAATTTAATTGCTGAGCCGAACTGATGTTCATGTTGCCCTGACCAGTTCATTCCTCCCGGTAGGCAAACTAAATGAAAAACCTAATTATCAAAAGGTTGCTTGATGAGTGTGGAGTCAGAACAAGGGGAATTACATGAATAGAATGCTTGATGGCATCCAGCTCTGCTAGCCTGTGGTCAAGAGAGCAGGATCCTTACATAGGATCTTTGTATCAATTTGGCTTAGGTGCCCTAATCTGGAGAGTTCTTGGATGGACAGAGTTGTTTGATCATCATTTGTACTTCTCTTTAGATATGATAACAGACTGAATAAATTTATCATCAAGACTTGCTGGACTCGAAGCCTTACAGGTCTTATTATGGTAACTACCTACATCTCTACTTTAATTACATGTTAATTTCTAGTTTAACCCTTAGAAAGCAGTGCTATCTTCCAAATTCCTAAGTTTGGAAAAGTGCTTCCCATAAATTAGTAGTCTTCCTTTCTCTGTGACCCTGCCCAGGAATCAGTGCCTCTGACCCCAGCCTCAGAGTGCCCTTCCTCCCCTGTTGCTGTGAACCACACATTTGGTGCACAGCCCACGCTACTTGTGCTTGCTCTTTAGCTTATCATATGCATGTGGGATCTTGTCATCTGGTGTGTAATTTTCCTTGGAGGACAGAGATGTGGATTCAATATTTGTGTGAGTAATTAATAATGAGGTCTAGCTTTTCATTTTTTCTTAGTATACCACTGGTTATGGCACCTATTCCTTGGATGACATTCTGTTTGTAAGAAGTATGGTTATTATTATTACTATTCTTATTGAGACAGAGTCTTTCTCTGTTGCCCAGACTGGAGTGCAGTGGCACGATCTCAACTCACTGCAACCTCTGCCTCCTGGGTTCAAGAGATTCTCCTGCCTCAGTCTCCTGAATAGGTGGGATTACACGCACGCACCACCACACCCAGCTAATTTTGGTATTTTTAGTGGAGACGGGGTTTCACCATGTTGGCCAGGCTGGTTTCAAACTCCTGGCCTCAACTGATCTGCCAGCCTTGGCCTCCCAAAGTGCTGGGTTTATAGGCATGAGCCACCGTGCCCGGCCAGCATATGATTATTTCTTTCATAGCTATGCTTGAAAATATCAGCATTCTTTAAAATTGCATCCTTTTTTCAGGATAGTTATTCTATTTAAAACAAAATGAAACAAACTCCATCCCTAAAACCCGAGATGATAATATGTGGCCTTTATTACAGGATGCCAACTGTAGCAATTTGGACTTTATTTTCCTAGACTTGGATCACAGGTCAAGTAAATGGTCATAACATTTTAATGACTTTGCCCTAACATAAAAAACAGAGATAAACAGAATAGGCTGAACTTTTTGTATGAGGGACCTGTAAATCTTTGACCTCCCTTGACACAGCATACTTAGATCCACATCATATGCAGTGTCATGCCCCCTGTAGACACTTTATACAAACTAATTGACTTGAGAAATAGTATGAGGTGTATTCCATGATACCTAGTAATGCAAATAGCTCAGAGAACTCTGCTACTTCTTTCCTGTTAGCAGAGTATCTTGTTTAGGAACATGAACCCAATATCACACCAATGGCATCTGAAAATGGTAGAGGGTTCTGATAGCATCTTAGCAAGAACTTTAAATAAAGACTTAGAAGTCGTAAAGTTTAAACCCATAAGTGAAGCCTCACTTACACATGCTGACTATTTTGTCTCAAGTGTGATAATGCTATAGCCGTTACTCAGCCTCCTTTGAAGTTCATCCTTGTATTTATCCCTGGATTCTATGTCACACTGCTTCCTTCCCATTCTTGTTTTCTTTCCTTCACTCCTTAAATAAATGTGTATAGTACCCCTAACTCTATCAGAAGAATTACACTAGTCGGTAATAACACAAAGATGGGATGTTCTTATCCTCAAAAATAAGTGGGCTTATCAGCAGGCTTCCTACAAGGCAGTACAGGAAGAGAAACAGTGGATCACATGGTTCTTACCTAACAGAAGAAAGCATACCAATTCTCCATTAAATAAAATTTAGTTAGGTCTACATTATGAGATGAATTTCTCATGTAGCATCTTATCAGAAAGCTTTTATTTCTTAGTTTTCTACGCGTATTCATTTCCAATGTCTAATGCCAAGGGTAATTCTGAATACCTTTTTAACTAATCAATCATTTTTTGATTCTGTTGAATATCAGGGAGAAATCTTGGGGCTTGAATATCTACTTTGTGAAAAGGGCCTGGGGAAACACCTTAAACTATCAAAATCATCTTTCCTTGGTTATTGGACAATAGTTCTCATACACCCAGTTCTTGGTAGATGAGAACAAATGAGACACTGAGTTCACCTCTCCTATGCATGACCATTACCCCTTCATCTTTTCTCAAAACAAATACAGTTGTGTGGTGACTAGGCACAAAATACTGCCCTTGTGAACTGAGAGAAGAAAACAGAACATAGTGGACTGACAAGCAGAGAATGCTGAAGAGTCTGTCTGATTATCCAATAACATTTTGGATTTTTCAGGAGAGCTGCATGATGTAAGCACAAGGTGTTATTAAAGCCAGTCCTGCTGCTAAAGGCAATATGGAGAATTGGGGGCTTCTTACCTGCTCCTTAAGCACCCTGATTATTTTCCCAGTAAGGGCAGTATAGAACCCTGCTGCCGGAAAAAGTTACAAATGGGCCAACTACGTCTTCCTGTAGTTATGCCCCCACGATTTTACAATGCTTTCCTCTGTTCTTGGATTGAAGGCAGAGGAAGGTATGCCCACAGAATGACCAGTTCACCTTTGAAGGTCTTTGTGGTACCAGAGACATCACAAAAGGCCCCAGGTAAAAATAAATTACTTTCCTCACAGTGATTATCACAGTCATTTAGACTTTACCTGAACTACCCGGTTCCATCATTAAATTCTACGTAATGGAAGACAGGAGATCTCACCTCTTTTACTACACCTAAAACCAGCCAGGCCTAATTCCGCTTTCTTATCTATGGCCTAGAAACCTGTAATCTGTATTTCCTCTTTCTAAACGTGTCAGCCTATTTATTATAATTATTATTACTGCTGAATCTGATTTATACCTGAAGTTTCCTTGAAGTCAATAGGCTATATTTGATGCTTACAAATAAGTTATTGTAAAATGGAAGTAATGATAGTAAAAGTAGCCACCACACTGAATGAGGCTGTTTGTATACTAGACAACAAAATGTATTCATGGTGTTACCATGGAGAGAATGGAGAGATTTTGGACTCATTTTAAAGAAGGCACCTTTATTCTAAGTATGCCTTTAAATGAATAACCTGAAACAAATGACTTGGTTTTTTTTTTTTCACAAAATTAGAACAAACTGAATATACATCTTTTTAAAGCTGGGCTATTACAGGGACATAACAGTAAATGCTAATGTACATACTGATGGTTGGCACGTGCAAATGAGCATGCTGATCGCTAGTTCACATCACGGTTCATTATGACATACAACTGCCAGAAATCAAAGTTAAGCAAAAAACAGCCACCAACTGTGTAGTCTTCCCTCCATATGTAGCCATTTTACCCCACAATCCCCTTTGTGATTAGCAAAAAGCTTGCAAATAGAGGCTAAAATAAATAATAAGAGGACTATGAATTGCTGGCTAATTTAAAAATGGCACAGAATCTTGGAGAGGGGAGGAAGCACCAGCTGAGATGAGCACATATTTCCCTAGAGCATTTTAAACTATCCTAAAGTGCACACGATGCACTGGTGAATGACTGCCTCTGAGAAAGCACCCTGATCTTGGAAGCTGAGCAGCACAAATACTTGGCATAGAACTCTGCATGGCATGGCAACTCTGCATTTGCATTGGTAAGTCCCAGAGTAAACAGGTGCATAAAACAACTGCTTGAATGAGTTTGCTTCTCTACAAAGTGGCTAAATCTCATAAAGCATTTTTTTCGCTTCTCTTTTTGAAAAGTACAAACACTTAGTTTAATAATGTAAGGCAGTTCATTTGCTAACGGGAGAAGATATTCACAACTCATGGAAAGATTTATTCTCTGTACTTTCCCTATGTAAATAAGGTGACATTTAGGCAGAAATAAGTCATTGTCCCCTCACAGTAGACATAATTCTCCATTGATTGGAAAATAGTACCTCCCCCATCCCCCAAAACTTTCTGTGTATGTTTAAAAAAAGCATATTCCCCCAAAAATAATTGCTTACCTGTTGGAAACAGGCCCCTTGAAATCTGGGTCATATGTCCTTGGATCACCTGCATTTAAAACAAAGACCTTTTAAGCATATAAGCCAGCAAATAAATTAATATAAAATATTAATAAACAAATATCTACATATTGGTTAGTCCACTGCTCAGTGCAGTGATGAATTCATACTTTGGTTTGATGAAACATAAGTATGTCTTGGTTACGGTTGTCAATTCTTTCTCCTCTCTCCAGCTTAGAAGGAGGACTGGGAAGAGTGGTTAAGGAACATATTCCATACACCTGGTGAATGTATCCTCCCACCATACTGTTCCATACACCTGGAGAATGTATCCTCCCAACATACTGAGCACCAACATTAAAGATTGTATCCAGGACAGCAAAACTTGAAGCCTTTATGGTCTGCAAAACAATTTTACCATCTTCCATCACCAAGTGTTGCTGAGGACTTATGAGGTGCACAGTTCAATATGAGATGCCTCCTTATCCCAGCTCTCCCATTCCTCTCAGTAGATTAGGCCTTCCTTCGAGAAGTTCAAATACTAGTTACTGTCTGTCTCTATCATGTTGGCTATATGGTACATAAAAATTAATGTTCTGTTATAGAAACATTTTTATTTCAGTTTTTTCAATCTACTGGCAGACTTCATGCCATCTGGGAAGGTGTCCTTGTCACTCTGCTGCATTATGATTGTGATATATTACCCTTTTCTTTAAACAGTAAAAGTACACATGGAATGGCTTTTTTCTCCCTGCATGTACTGTGTGGGCAGACCCAGTAACAAGTTATGTAAAGTCTTTCCTGGCCAAAGGTGTGCACTTTGCAGTCCCCAAACTCTTGATTCTTCTCCTACAACCTAAGCACTCCCACGTGTTCCTCTAGGGATTTGTCCCTGTAAAAAGGTCTGGTCCTGAATAAAAGATAAAATTTTCCTGTTTGAGACAGTTGATATGTACTTCAGTGCCAAGTTCTCTAGCACACTGTCTGCTTCTCTTTTTTGGACAGCTTATCTGACTCTGCTTCACTGCAACAGATAATATTAAAAGTGTTTAAGTCTACTTTATCTGAGCACTGACCATCCCTCTGTCCCCCAATCCACAGGAGTGGGTCTTTAGTCGTGACATTTCTTCTTTGTGCCTGTTTTCTGGCCATGGCCAACTGGATCTGGTTTAGATATTGGATCCAAGCTGGGCCAGTCAGATTCTCAGTCCCAGGAATTTAGAATTAGAATAGACAATGAGTTATTCTCAGTGGAAGACGAACTGCAAAATATAAACCTCGAAAACAAGAGAAGCAGAGAAATCTGGCTTTCAGAAAGAAGTTATTGAAGTAAATGTTCAAAGAGAAACAGAGATGATGGTCCTAACAGCCTTTATCTTGTGGTCTAGTTCTTACCTGAAGCTCAGAGTTGAGTTTCATGAGACACCTTACAGTCTCAAACTGTGTTCCCTTTTCTCACTTTTAACTAGTTCAGATTGTTTATATGTAACAAAAGAGCCAAAGAGTCCTATTAACAATTCGCTCTCTCGGCTTACATTTTAACAATTCATTTTAACAACATTTTTTGGATCCTTGCCATGAACACGTGGTGTGAGGATATGAAGAGGAATTTTTCAGACTAAGTCTGCCTTTATGAATCTCATACTTGAATAAGAAATATAAGCTCAAGAGGGCTGGACATGGGTGGCTAACACCTATAATCCTAGCACTTTGAAAAGCCAAGGCTGGTGGACTGCTTGAGGCCAGGAGTTCCAGACCAGCCTGGGCAACATGGCAAAACCTCAAATTAGCTGGGCGTGATGGTGCACACCTGTAGTCCTAGTTATTCCAAAGGTTGAGGCATGAGAATTCCTTGAACCCAGGAGGTGGACATTGCAGTGAGCTGAGATTGTGCTACTGTACCCCAGCTTGGATGAGAGAGCAAGACAGATGAGAGAAAGAAAGAAAGAGAGAAAGAAAGAAAAGAAAGAGAGAAAGAAAGAAAAAGAGAAAGGAAAAAAGGAAGAAAAAAGAAAGAAAAAAAGAAAGAAGGAACGAGAGAGAAAGGAAGGAAGGAAGGTAGGAAGGAAGGAAGGAAGGAAGAAAGGAAGGAAGAAAGGAAGGAAGGAAGGAAGGAAGGAGAAAAGGAAGGAAAGAAAAGAAACATAAGCTGGAAACATTTCAACACTGTGCAGTGAGAGCTGTGATAGAGAATGCTGTGGGGCACAGGGCGGGTCATGAATGAACAGGTTTCACAAGCTCCTGACATTCAACTTTGACTTCATTTTCTGCTCATGCTCTGACCCTGTGCTCTTTGACTTGAATCTTTCACTCTGATTTTGAACATTAATATTTGCAACATTCCTGGTTCTAGATTTCAGTTACCAAATCTGTCTGAATAGCTGAAATAGCTCAAAAACTTTTAGGGGTACAAGATTCCAACAATCCCCCATATCAAATATTCCAATTCCATAGATCTGAGGAACGGGCCTGAGAATCTGTATTTTTAAATGACCCACTAACTGACTCTGATGCACAGGCAGATTTGGGAACCATTAAGCTATTTGATTTTCATCTCAATTGTATAACTACATCCCTGTTTACACACTGTCATTATGTCTAGTTCTACTTAACAGACCAACCTAATGGAGAAAATAAGGAGAAAAGTAGGTCATCATGATGTGTATGAGTTTCGGGAAACACTACCATTAGATGTGAGGAGCCAGTGACAGAGTTTTAGGAAGAGACACAGACATTCAAGAAAGTCAAAGTATTTCAAGAAAAAGGAAAGATCATAAACTCTATAAAATTTATTCTTTTTTTATATTTTTTATTTTTTATTATACTTTAAGTTGTAGGGTACATGTGCATAACGTGCAGGTTCGTTACATATGTATACTTGTGCCATGTTGGTGTGCTGCACCCACCAACTCGTCAGCACCCATCAACTCGTCATTTACATCCGGTATAACTCCCAATGCAGTCCCTTCCCCCTCCCCCCTCCCCATGATAGGCCCCGGTGTGTGATGTTCCCCTTCCTGAGTCCAAGTGATCTCATTGTTCAGTTCCCACCTATGAGTGAGAACATGCGGTGTTTGGTTTTCTGTTCTTGTGATAGTTTGCTGAGAATGATGGTTTCCAGCTGCATCCATGTCCCTACAAAGGACACAAACTCATCCTTTTTTATGGCTGCATAGTATTCCGTGGTGTCTATGTGCCACATTTTCTTAATCCAGTCTGTCACTGATGGACATTTGGGTTGATTCCAAGTCTTTGCTATTGTGAATAGTGCTGCAATAAACATATGTTTGCATGTGTCTTAATTGTATTTGTACCAGGGACTACTCTAAGTGCTTTACACATAGGTCTGCCATCTTGCACAATTCCACATAGAACACATTGTACTTCTCTGAGCAGTGCAGTGGAATAGCCCTAGTGTATTTATTATGTCATTTAATGTTTCTAAAAATTCATGCCATTTCAATGTACTAAAATATGCCATTATTATTGTTCTATTTTACAAATGAGGAAGTTTGGGTACAGAAGGGTGAGATAATTTTCCCTAGCTCACCCAGCTAACAAGAGGCAGAGGTGGCATTGAAAGGCAGACTGTCCAATGCCAAAGCCTGTGCTGAGCCATTTAGCAGTAAGTTGCTCATTGGTCATTTTAAAGTAATTCCACAGATGAGTAAGGAGAAGACAGGTTTAAAGGGGTTAATAACTCATATTGATTTTGTAATTATTTGCTGTTTACATTAAAGTTAGGCAAAACCAGCTTAAAAGTATTTAGGCTGGCTTCCAATTTTTCTGTGATTTGTACCTCACCAAGAGAGAAAGTAGATTGCAGTGTAAATGAAATGCCATTGTCGAATCTGCCAGAAAAGCTGACACTTTCTGATGGTAAATCCTGGCTGCTTCATATTTCAGTTGAAAATACACTAAAACCACAGTCAGATGATAAGATTGAGCTGATTCTGTATAGTAATGACAGCTGGAAAGTGATTACTTCACCCTGCCCCCATGTGCCAGCAGAATTTGTATTGTCATGCAAATTTTTTATATCCTGCAAATCAATAGAGGCCAGTGCTTTTATGGGGGCCCTCAGTACTCTAATTGAATCTCTAGTGAGAGCTGTGATAGAGAATGCTGTGGGGCACAGGGCGGGTCATGAATGAACAGGTTTCACAAGCTCCTGACATTCAACTTTGACTTCATTTTCTGCTCATGCTCTGACCCTGTGCTCTTTGACTTGAATCTTTCACTCTGATTTTGAACATTAATATTTGCAACATTCCTGGTTCTAGATTTCAGTTACCAAATCTGTCTGAATAGCTGAAATAGCTCAAAAACTTTTAGGGGTACAAGATTCCAACAATCCCCCATATCAAATATTCCAATTCCATAGATCTGAGGAACGGGCCTGAGAATCTGTATTTTTAAATGACCCACTAACTGACTCTGATGCACAGGCAGATTTGGGAACCATTAAGCTATTTGATTTTCATCTCAATTGTATAACTACATCCCTGTTTACACACTGTCATTATGTCTAGTTCTACTTAACAGACCAACCTAATGGAGAAAATGAGGAGAAAAGTAGGTCATCATGATGTGTATGAGTTTCGGGAAACACTACCATTAGATGTGAGGAGCCAGTGACAGAGTTTTAGGAAGAGACACAGACATTCAAGAAAGTCAAAGTATTTCAAGAAAAAGGAAAGATCATAAATTCTGTAAAATTTATTCTTTTTTTATATTTTTTATTTTTTATTATACTTTAAGTTCTAGGGTACATGTGCATAACGTGCAGGTTCGTTACATATGTATACTTGTGCCATGTTGGTGTGCTGCACCCACCAACTCGTCAGCACCCATCAACTCGTCATTTACATCCGGTATAACTCCCAATGCAGTCCCTTCCCCCTCCCCCCTCCCCATGATAGGCCCCGGTGTGTGATGTTCCCC